GGGGAGAATTGGTGCATCCCCTGTAGCGCCGACCGATTGCATCACCGGCGACCAACGTGGAGTTGTGAAGGTCAGCAACGATAGGAAGGAGCCGGCCCTCGGCAAGCCGACATCGAGAAAAGTTAACATGGCGAAGCTGACCTCAAAGGAGCCAGCGATCGAAAAGCTGACCTCAGGGGATTCGTCAGCACACAGGCCGGCGACAGAGGAGCAGCTCGTTGACGAATCGTCGAGCGACGTTGTGGAAGTCGATGGTGAACGTGGCAATACCGAAGAGGAGCCGACCGCAGTGATGTAGTGGCGATTGAAGCTGAAGACAATGACGTGGTGCAAGTCGATGAGCCAAAGCCGCAACGTTCCACTTGCTCCACCCTTAGCAAGCCTACCACGATTGCGTGCCACCGACCCCGTACAGCACGCTGATCGACGATGCGAATGCCGATGTTGACTTGCCAGAGCTCAACTCCGACGTGCATGCTTACCCGGAACACCACTGGGACATCTCCAACATGACGATGAAGGAAGCGTTGGCGAGCTCGAAGGGCAAGGCGGTAAAGTCCGCCATGGACGAGGAGATCCAGAGCCTTTTTGCCAACGGCACATGGGAACGAGGTGTCAACGTGATGAAGAAACCGTGGGTGCTGATGACCAAGTACCATGTCGAGGACGCGGTCGTCCGCGAGAAGGCGTGCTTGGATGTGAAGGGCTTCACGCAGGTATACGGCGCTGACTATGACAAAACGTATGCACCAGTGGGGAGCTAAGTCACGCTGCGGACTTTTCTCAGCATTGTCACCATCCGCGCCTTGCACCTGATGCAGCTCAACATGAAGAACGCCTTCATGCAGAGCAAGCTCAATTGTGTGGTCTACGTGTGCAGCCCTACTTCTACGACGACAGGACCGGAAGGGCGTGCAAATTACTAAACAGCTTGTATGGGCTGAAACAATCGCCGCTATTGTGGTACTCGACGCTCGACGCGGTGCTGACCGGCGCCGGTTGGAGCAAGATCCAGGTCTACGCTAGAAGACTTATCCTATCTAAGACCCTTTCTTATTCCAACAAGGTGTGAGACCTAGTTTGGAAGCTAAACACAACTTTTGTAAAGCGATGTATATTAAAAATTATCTGGCAGTACGAGCAATCATCATGCTAGGCGCTGACTTCGCGGAAACAGGAGAAAATTTAGTCCATCAACCCTCCAACGTCACCTCAGTCGTGACGACCGTTGATCCTGCTCTCATTGAGCAAATCATCACCAGCATCAACGCCCTAGAGAGCCACCATCAACCCATAATTGTTGATGGCTCCAACTATGCCAGAAGCCCTTATCCTTATCCTCCCAGACCTTACTTTGAGCGTTCATTCACCTTCAACAATCGTCAAGGACAGAAGCCTGCTCAAGGTCAACAAGCACATTCTGAAGCAATGGCACCAATGCAGGTCAAGTTCCTATTAACTGCACAACTCATAACTGTTGGTGCAACCCTACGGTTTGCACTCGGCTTGTTGTCCGTGTGCGTGCATGTGTGTGTGTATGGAATGGTATGAGGGCATGGGACAATATACATTTCATACTTATAATTGTGTGTGAATGTTGAGTCATGATGTCAAGTGTGTGTGTCGAGTCAATAGCGAGTTATCGCTAGACGCGTGTTACGCGGTCGTTTGTGTCTCGCACGCGGTTTCTATTTTGTCGTGCGCGGTTTCTATTTTGTCCTGTGTCGAACGTTCGGCGTGTCGCAGGTGTGTGTAGAAGACCCATCAAGAACTCAAGGATGAGTTTGTGATGAAGAGCCCGAGCCTTGGTGTCAAGCCTCAAGTGATTTCGAAGCTCGCCAAAAGGGTGCACCTCAAGATATTGAAGATAGTTACATTACTTTGTGTAGTGTAACATTTCACTTGGTGTAGGCCCTAGTGAAGAGTATTTTCGAGACCCTTCGTGGTTGGGGACAGTGTGGCACTGTTCCACATCACTGTACCTCGGCTCTTGGGGTTTGTAGGAGCTGGGAGTCATTCCCAACTCGTAACTCTTCATATCTCTTCCTATTTTGTGTTCTAAGACTATAGTGGCTGCCATAGTGCCGTTCGTTCAAACCAACACTGTGTCGTCAATACTTGGTCAAATTGTGTGATCTAAATTGCCCAGTGTAGACGAGAATAAGACGCTCCAGATCCAAGTTGAATCAAGTCATTTGATGTTGTGACCAGAACGCTATGAACGTTTGAAGCCGCTGTGCAGAAATCCGACTGTGCACTCTATCTTTCGTTTTAGGCACATTGGAGCCTACTGTGACTATAACAATAACAAACACTCAATCCGACGAGAAAGTTTCGAATTCAAGCTCCTGGCTCAAAGCGCGCTCTGGGTGTATTACAAGGGTACACTATCTTTCCCCAACGACGGCTCTGACAAACTATATTTGTTATATTGTGCTAGCCTACGTGTTATAGTTTTCCCTAGTTTAGATTAGTGTTTTTGTTGAAATGAATGAACAGGAATGGTTGAACTAACAGTGAAATCAGTACAAGTACCTAGCCCTAGAATTGTGTACCCCCTATAGGCTAACCGGCTGTAGCCTAAACAAGCACAACATATATAATGTTTGACACACCCCCATAGGCGAAGTGGGGGAGAACTAGGGGTCACAAGACCAGTCAAGGCAAAGCAAGGCAAAACAAGCTCAAGGTGGATCTCAAGGATACCACACAAATTCCGAGCACAAGCAAGTGGTCACAAGACCAGTTCACATGCAGGTTTATAATCGAACAAGAGGTACAAAGATCACAACCTAGCAAGAGTAAACATGCAGGTATATATATAGAGAGATCACAGTACAAACAGACTCAAGAAGTAAGCAAGTGAGGTCCAGTAGGCACAAGGCCTAGAAGAGTGCAAAAGCGCTGATGGTCACAAGGCTGAAGCACCTTGGTGAACACATCAGCAGTGTTGCCCTCAGAGGCCACGTAACGCAGACGAAGCTGACCACGCTGCTGCATCTCTCGAGCAAAGAAGTAGCGCAGAGCAATGTGCTTCGTTCTGTGCTCCGGTCTGTGCTCCTGACACAAGGCAATAGCTGCCTTGTTGTTGACGTACAGCACTGGAGGAGAACGAGGCCGCTCTCCAAGGTCGGTCAGCAAGTAGGTGAGCCAGCGTAGCTCCTGGGCCGCCATGGCTGTGGCGTAGATCTCAGCCTCACAACTGGAGTTGAGAACAAAAGAAGAGCGAGTAGAACGCCAAGAAACTGAACCAGAGCCAAGACTGAAGGTGTAACCCTGAGACGACCGCTGAGTAGCCTGGTCGTCTGCCCAAGAAGCGTCTCAGTGCCCAGTGAGAACAACTGGGTCTCGCCCTCCAAGCACTAGCCCCATGCCCGACGTACTGCACAAGTAACGCAACACCCTCTTAGCTGCATCCATGTGCTCCTTCCGGTGACGGCCGGGAGCGACATAGCGTGCAAGAATGCTAAGAGGGTATGCAAGGTCAGGTCGAGTGCAGGTCATCAGGTACATGAGGCAACCCACAAGCTATGGATATGGGCCACTCAGCTTCACGGACTCAACCGAAGGCAGAGCTGAGAGCGAGTGACCGGTAGGCAGAGGAGTGGGCTGAGGCGAGGAGTAGGGACCGGCCATCGCCTCTGCGTAAGAGCGTGGGGTCGGGATGTCTGGTGCATCCGGGTCTCCCTCAGGGGCAACAAGCATGGACACGAGATGGGGCAAAGCGGCAGCAAAGCACTCAAACTCCTCCTGCCTGTCCTCAAGGACGTCAGTGCAAAGAGCAGACTCACCCCCGACGGACGGAGGACAGACAGACTCAGACTCAGCAACTAGGCTAGCGGCGTAGTCTAGACGACAGGTGGCAGCAAAGTCGACAAGCTCAGCAACTAAGGCAGACGCAGCAGCGGACTCAAAGGAAGGGTCAGTGACAACAGTAGCCAGGAGACGCGTGACAGTAGGACTGGCAGCACGAAGGGAGTCTGACTCCGGGTCAGCAAGAGCAGGAAGAGAGGATGCAGGAGGAGACGGCTGTGGGACACGCTGTGGAGCAGTGGAAGGACGAAGCGCCATCCGGCCGCGGCCGTGCAGCGACTCCAGATTCAGCAGAGACACCAGCGCCAGGGTCCTCAGCACCAGCAGCAGCTCCAACTCCCGGGTCCTCAGCACCAGCACCAGCTCCAACTCCCGGGTCCTCAGCACCAGCAGAAGCTCCAACGCCCGACTCCACAGCAGCTGCAGCAGCAGCACCAGCGCCAGGGTCCTCAGCACCAGCAGTAGCTCCAACGCCCGGGTTCACAGAATTAGCAGGAGCTCCAACGCCCGGGTCCTCAGCACCAGCAGTAGCTCCAACGCCCGGGTCCTCAGCACCAGCAGCAACTCCAACGCCCGGGTCCTCAGCACTAGCAGCAGCACCAGCGCCCGGGTCCTCAGCACCAGCCGTAGCTCCAACGCCCGGGTCCGCAGCACCAGAAGCAGCTCCAACCTGTGGGGCCGCAACACCAGCAGCACCAGTAGAGTCTCCAGCACCAGCAGCACCACCAGAAGCAGCGGGGTCCGCGACACCAGGCACGCCACTCCGAAGGGTGCAGCGCCGCTCGTACCACTCACGGATCCGCTCACGGGAGGGGAGCTCCCGACTAGGAGGAGAAGCACTAGCACCAGTCCCAGTAGTACGCCTGGCTCCAGATGTACCTCTCCTGAGGCTGTAGTACTGTAAGTACCACTCACGCAGCTACTCCGAGGAGAGGGCTCCTCCAGGTGTAGGACTCCCAGGCTTAGCACCTCCAGACTCAGAACCCCCAGACTCCGGACTCTGCGGCTCAGCACCCCCAGGCTCAGCACCCCCTGGCTCAGTACCCCCAGGCTCAGCACCCCCAGGCTCCGCACCCCCAGGCTCCGCACCCCCAGGCTCAGCACCCCCAGGCTCCGCACCCCCAGGCTCCGCACCCCTAGGCTCCGCACCCGCAGCAGGACGAGAGTCGACAGCTACCTCAACAGGCTCAACCGGGTCTACCTGAGACACACCTAAGGGAGCGGCACCCTGAGGGGGGAGGGGGTCTACGACAGCAGCACTTGGCGCGAGGAAGAGAGGCGGGGGTGGGGAGCGGGGCAGTGCGGTAGGGGAAGAGGCGGTAGTAGGTAACGGACTCGTCAAAAGTGACGTCCTGAGAGGGCAAGACTCGGCGCGAGGTGGCGTGGTAAAACTGCCAACCAGGCGCGTCCGGGACAAAGCCGAGGAAGACGCAGGGAACAGCACGAGAGGAGAGCTTGTCCGCAGACGTATCGCGGACAAAGGCTCGAGATCCCCAGACCCGGAAACGCGACGCATTGCCAACCTCCCCCGTCCACAGCAGTGTGGGCGAGGTCTCCGGCAAGGAGACACGGGGCCAGAGGTTGAGCTGATGCGCGGTGTACCGGACCGCAAACGGCCACAGAAAGTGGGGGGGCAGCCGCATGGATCAAGGAGGTACGGGCGACCTCCATGACCAGGCCAATGCGGCGCTCCGCAATCCCATTCTGCTGTGGAGAGGCCGGAAGCGTGAACGACTGCTCAATGCCGTGCTCAGCACAGTAGGCTGCCAAGAGGTCGGAGGAGAACTCACCAACTCTATCAGAGTGCAAGCGCAGGACAGGAATGTCCGAGTGGAAACGCTCGCTGAGCTGGAGACGGACTCTGCGGATCCAAGGGATCAAGACATCAGGGACCTCACCCTTGGTGCGCAAGGGGAAGACCGTGGTGTAGCGCGAGTAGTCGTCAACAACTATCAGGAAGTACCTCTCCTGACCCTGACCACGGACGCGGGCTGGGCCCCACACGTCCATGTGGAGCGTCTGCAAGGGAGCAGTCGTCGGGGGAAACTAGGAGGAGTGAGGAGCAGCGCGCTGCCGCCCCTCAACACAGGGAAGACAGGGAGGAGCAGGTGAGGGAGGGAGGGGAGGAAGGACCCTGGGAAGGCCAGAGACAAGGTATCGGGAGTGCATGGCACAAAGCCGCTGCACAGACGGGTGGCCAAGGCGGTGGTGCCAGAGGACAGTCTCGTGTGCCAGAGAGCGACACGAGCAGGGGGCCGACAGCTGACCTGACGCGGACGCAGACGCAGACGCAGCGACCCGAGGGGACTCAGTGGTCAGTGTGTACATGTCCGACCCCGGCTGCCGAGTGAAGGTAGCCAAGTGACGGCCCGTACGAGCACACGTGCAGTGTGTCACTCGCTCGTAGGCAGGGGTGAACTTGTGAACACCCCCGTCCTAGAGCGCACATCCTGCCACCAGGTTCGTAGAGAACGAGGGGAGGTGGAGACCTGACAGTGTGCCCGACGGGACCGCAGGACAGGGGAGGAGAGTGGAGGAGGTCGCAATGACCGGACCCCCAGAGGGGTCAGCGAGGGAGACAGCAACTGGCCGAGCAAGCGGCTCAAGGGCAGTGCGGTCACGAAAGAAGCAGCGAGAAGCACCTGAGTCCAGTGTGAAGGTGTGCAGTGCTGCAGTCGACTCAGTACCAGGGGGGGCAGACGCACAAGCACCTAGAGCAGCTGCCTCACCAGCACCTGGGGTAGCGGACACGCGAGTACCTGGAGCGGCAGACGCACTAGTCCTAATGCCCGGGTCGGGCGGCACACACAGGTACTCAACACCCTCTCCACTAGTAGACATCAGATACATAGCAGTGAGAATAGCATCAAAGTCTAGAGCATAGATATCAATCCCCTTCTTCAGGAGATCAACCCAGCGGGGCAGCTCAGTGGCCTGAGGGAACTGAACACGCCAAGCGTCGTTGAGACGAGCGAAGCAACGCTGTGTGGCGTGCGGTCCCCCACACGGCTGACCAGTGCGGTCACCAGTGCGAATGACGTACGTGCAGCTAAAGCCACCCCCCCTCCCCCCCCCCCCCCGTGCTGAGAGTACCACTCACGGACCTCCTGGGGCGAGGGAGTGTGCTGCTGGCTCTGGCCACCGCCAGCGCCTCCACGACCACCACCGCAGCCGCCACCTCCTCGACCACCCCAACCCCTGCCGCCGCCGCGTCCACCGTCACCCCCACCACCGCCTCCACCCCTGCCACCTCCCCCGCCACTGCCGCCACCACCCCCACCGCTGCCACTAGCCCCTCCAGTCGTGCCACCACCCCCACCGCCGCCACCGCCCCCACCACCGCCTCCCCCGCCGTCACCGCCACCGCCCTTGCCCCCTTTGCCCTTGCCGCTGCGGCGCACGCTCGAAGCAGACGCAGTCCCGACCTTCTCAGCACCAAGGAGGTCGACAGCAGCAGCAGAGGCGACAGAGGGAAGAAGGGGGGAAGGAGAACACCCCTCAAAGAACGGGGTACGGGGGTCGCCACGAGAGGCACCTACAGCGACTATGCTAGCCTCACCTGCAAGGAGTTCCTTCTTGAGGAGGGCAATGGTGAGCTCAGTGGGGCAGCGAGCTAGGAAGTGGTCCCTGACTGAGCGCAGAGTGTCAGGGAGGCGAGTGACTAGGTGGTAGAGAGTGAGCCAGAGCGGGGGTGGGTTCTTGGCAAGGAACTCATCAAGCATAGCAGCGCGGAAGCGAGCCTCACTAGTGCGGAGGTGCGTAATGAGGTCAGCGACAGTGTGGAAAGAGGCTAAGTCGGGGAACAGGTAGGGAAGAGAGAGACGGCCTAGTGCGGCAGAGGCCGGTGAGGAGTAGCGGGCAACGACAGCAGTGTACAGTGCCTGTGCAGTCTTGTGCTGTCCAAAGTGCTCGCGCTCATCTATCGGCAGGGAGTTGCGAATAGCAAAGCGAGCGTGGGCGTCACGAGTCTGCCACTGTGAGCGGGCAGTGCTGTCAGCACAAGCAGCAGGGGTAGTGACATGGCCTAGGGCGTGGTCGTACAGTGAGATGTCGTCCTTGGCAAAGAGCTGTAGATAGAGGTGCAGGTCATCTATCCAGGTGTCAAACTTCACTGGGCGGCCCTCAGCATCGAAAGCTAGCACAGGTGGGCTAGCCATAGGAGCAGTAGGAGCAGCAGTAGGAGTAGGAGGGTGAGATAGGTAGGGCGGCTCGGACAGTACGCGCGGCGCGGTTCAGCTCAGGTAGGGCGGAGCGGCTAGGGTAGGGCGGCGCGGTTTGGTTCGTGTCGCGCAGCTCGGCTCGGACTGGGCGGCTCGGTTCGGGTCGCGCGCCTCGGCTCGGTCCTGGAGGGGCTGTGGCGGTCACAGGCCGTTCGGGGCCTCTAGGGGCGAGCGCGGGGCCGTAAGGGGCCGCTAAGGGCGAGCGCGGGGCCGTTCGGGGCCTGTAGGGGCGAGCGCGGGGCCGTAAGGGGCCGCTAGGGGCGAGCGTGGGGGCCGTTCAGGGCCTCTAGGGGCGAGCGCGGGGCCGTAAAGGGCCTCTAGGGGCAATCGCGGGGCCGTTCGGGGCCTCTAGGGGCGAGCGCGCGGCCGTAAGGGGCCTCTAGGGGCGAGTGCGGGGCCGACGGGGGCCTCTAGGGAGGTGAGCGCGGGGCCGACGGGGCCGTTAGGGGCGATCGTGGGGCCGACGGGGTCGCTAAGGGGCGAGCGCGGGGCCGTAAGGGGCGAGCGCGTGGGCCGACGGGGCCTTAAGGGGCGGCGCGCAGGTCGCTAAGGGGCGGGTCGCGGGTCGCGGGGCCTTAGGGGGCCGTGAAGAACGAGGCGCCCTAGGGCGCAATTAGGTAGGTAGGTAGGTAGGTAGGTAGTGGTGGGCCCTAAAAAAACGGTCCTAGCGAAGGGACTGCTCTATACCATGTTGAAATGAATGAACAGGAATGGTTGAACTAACAATGAAATCAGTACAAGTACCTAACCCTAGAATTGTGTACCCCCTATAGGCTAACCCCCCAACAGGTGGGCGGTGCAGCCAGATCTCCTCGTGCAGGCTGCCCTGCAAGAAAGCTGTGCTGAAGTCGAGAGAGTGGAGCTCGTAGTCACGGTGAGCAGCAATGTGCAGCAGTACCCGAAGAGTGGTCATCTTCGGGGTGGGGGAGAAGGTCTGAAAGTAGTCAACTCCCTGCCGCTGACTGAAGCCACGAGCCACGTAACGCGCCTTGAAGACAGGCGGAGAACTCGGCGGCCGCTTCACCCTGAAGATCCACATGCCACTGACGATGTTCGCCCCAGGAGGGGGGACAGCGTCAACGTAGGTGCCTGTGGACTTCCAGGAAGCCATCTCTGCATCCATAGCTGCCTGCCACTGAGAGGAGTAGGGACCCTCTATCGCCTCCGCGTAACAGCGCGGAGTCGGGATGTCAAGTGCATCCGGGTCTCCCTCAGGGGTAAGCAGTACGGACACGAGATGAGGTGAAGCAGCCGCCAAACACTGGAACTCCTCCTGCCTGTCCTCAAGGACGCCCGTGCCAAGGGCACACTCACCCCCGACGGACGGAGGACAGGCAGACTCAGACTCAGCGATAAGACTAGCAGCGTAGTCTAACAACAGCGAGCAGCAAAGTCGACGAGCTCAGTAACGAGAGCAGACGCAGCAGTAGACTCGAAAGAAGGGTCAGTGACAACAGTAGCAAGGAGACGCGTGACAGTAGGACTGGCAGCACGAAGAGAGTTCGACTCAGGGTTGGCAAGTGCAGGAAGAGAGGACTCAGGAGGGGAAGGCAAAGGGGCACGCAGAGGAGCAGTAGACGGACGCAGAGACATCCGGTGCGTGCCAGGGATAGGAGGAGGACGCTGGCGCGAACCGCGACCACTAGCGCGAGCAGCTCTAACAGGCAACGCAGGACGAGACGGAGGCTCTCGACGCTCAGTAAGACCTCCAGTAGGACCAGCGTAGGGAGAAGGAGCAGGCAGAGGGGAGGCAGGCTGTAGCTGTGACTGTGACTAGACAGGCTGTGGACACTCTAAGGGAGGAGGAGGACGAGTAGAAGGAGGAAGACCAAGAACCTGCTGCAGGAGTGGAACAAAGTACGGTCGAGGCCGCGTGACGACGTTAGAAGCAGCAGGGACAGCACCATTACCCTCAGCAGGAGCACCCGCTCCAGCAGCACCTCCAGCAGCAGTAGGAGCACCCCCAGTAGGACCGCCAGCGGTAGTCTCTACGCCAACACCCTCAGCAGCACCAGCTCCAGTCGAACCCGTAGGCCCAGCAGCTCTAGTACTCCCAGTACGAGCACCTCCAGGACCCGCGACCGCAGTACCCTCAGCAGCCGAAGAACCTCCAGCACCAGCAGTACGGCGCCAGCGCCGGGCAAACCATTCGCGCAGCTCTTGTGGAGAGAGTGGCTCCCGGCGAGAAGAAGCACCCGGAGAACCTCCAGGCGGAGCACCTCCACTCTCAGCACCCCTAGGCGTAGCACCTCCAGGCTCAGCACCCCCAGGCGTAGCACCTCCAGGCTCAGCACCCCCAGGCTCAGCACCCCCAGGCTCAGCACCCACAGGCTCAGAACCCCCAGAGGCAGTACCCCCAGGCTCAACACCCCCAGACTCCGCACCCCCAGGTCCAGCACCCCAAGGCTCAGCACCCCCAGCAGCACCAGAGTCACTAGTGACCTCGACAGGCTCGACTGCGTCTACCTGGGACACACCTGAAGGGGCAGGACCCTGAGGGGGGAGGGGGTCTACCTGGGGGGGACCTGGTACAAGGAAGAGCGGGGGTGGGGGGAGGGACGGAGTGCGGTAGGGGAAGAGGCGGTAGTAGGGGACCGACTCGTCAAACGTGACGTCCTGGGAGGACAGAACACGTCGAGAGGTGGGGTGGTAGAACTGCCACCCAGGCGCGTCTGAGGGGAACCCCAGGAAGACGCAAGGAGCAGCACGAGGGGACAGCTTGTCCGCAGACAAGTCGCGGACAAACGCCCGAGATCCCCAGACCCGGAACGCCGACGCATCGCCAACCTGCCCCGTCCACAGCAAGGCTGGGGAGGTCTCCGGCCTAGAGACCCTGGGGTGGAGGTTGATCTGATGCGCCGCGTACCTCACCGCAAACGGCCACAGAAAATGGGTGGCAGCCGCATGCATCATAGACGTACGAGCGACGTCCATGACCATGCCAGCGCGGCGCTCAGCAATCCCATTTTGCTGCGGTGAGTCCGGAAGCGTGAAGGTCTGACGGATGCCTCGTGCGCGACAGTAGGCTCGCAGTAGGCCAGAGGAAAACTCTCCGCCTCTGTCCGAGTGCAGACGCAGAACAGGGAAGTCCGAGCCAAAGCACCGCCTGAGCTGGAGACGAGCCGCGCGGATCCAGTCGATCAGCACCTCAGTGACATCACCCTTGTTGCGCAAGGGGAAGACTGTGGTGTAACGCGAGTAGTCGTCAACAACAAGCAGGAAGTAGCGCTCGTGACCCTGTCCACGGACGCGGGCTGGGCCCCACACGTCCATGTGAAGCGTCTGCAACGGGGCCTCTGTCGGAGGAAACTGGGAGGAGTGAGGGGTAGCCCGCTGGCGCCCCTCGACAGAGGGGACACAGGCAGGGCCAGGGCCCTGAGGAAGGGGAGGGAGGGACCAGGGGAGACCAGACACAAGAAGACGGGAGGCCATGCCTCTGAGCCGAAGCAGGGAGGGGTGACCAAGACGGTGGTGCCAGAGGAGAGTCTTGTGAGACAAGAGACGACACGAACAGGGGGCAGACTCAGGACCAGACCTGGACGCTGCAGCAAACACCTGACCGGACGAAGCGACTCTACCAGACTCAGTAACGGGAGGAGACGCAGTGGTCAGTGTGTACAGGCTCGACCCCGGCTGGCGGGTAAACGTAGCCAGGTGCCGGCCTGTGCTAGCCTCTGTACAGTGCGTCACCCGCTGACGCGTAGGAGTGAACTGGTGTACTCCCCCATCCTGTAGGTCAGCACCACTCACCAGGTTCGTCGAGAACGAGGGGAGGTAGAGACCAGACAGGGCGCCAGAGGGAGCCGCCGGACACGGGAGGACTGTGGAGAAGCGAGACAGTACGGGACCCCCGGAGGGGTCAGCCAGAGACACCGCAACTGGCCGACTAAGCGGCGTGAGTGTGGTGCGGTCCCGAAAGAAGGAGCGAGACGCCCCAGAGTCAAGAGTGAAGGTGAGGGAGGCCGAAGCGGACGTAGTACCTGAGAGCGCAGACTCACCAGTACCTGAGGACGCAGACACACTAGCACCTAGAGCAGCAGCGTCGCAAGCACCTAGGGCAGCAGCCTCAATGCCCGGATCGGGCGGGAAACAGCGGTAGCAGTCACCCTCATCACTATGAGACACAGCATACATGGAAGAGAGAATAGCATCAAAGTCAAGATCAAAGATGGCAACCCCCGCCCTAGACAGCTCGTCCCAGCGAGGGATCTCGGAGGCCTCCGAGAACTGGTGACGCCACGCGTCCGTCAGGCGGCCAAAGCAGCGCGGAGTGGGGTGCACACCCCCACACTGCTCACCCGCACGGTCGCCGGTGCGCAGGACGTAGGTGCACGGACCAAAATCCCCACCCCGCTGGCGTGCAGTGTACCACTCACGGAGCTGCTGAGGGGACAGGGTCGCACGACCACGCTGCTGCTGCTGGCGCGAGCCACCACCTGAGCCACTCCTCTGCGAAGACCCGCGACCAGCTCCACCGCCACCCCCACCGCCTCCACTGCCTCCGCTGCCTCCACTACCGCCGCCGCCTCCACCGCCGCCTCCACCGCCGCCTCCTCCGCCACCTCTGCTACCACCGCCGCCGCCGCCTCCGCCTCCACTGCCGCCACCGACCCCCCCACCCCCACCTCCACCTCCACCGCCACCCCCACTCCCCCCACTGCCTCCACCTCCACCTCCACCTCCACCGCCCGCTCCTCCAGCTCCCTTGCCCCCCTTGCCCTTGCCAGAGCGGCGTCTCCCGCTAGGGGCAGACGCCGCACCGACCGACTCAAGACCAAGGAGGTCGGCCGCAGCAGCAGAGGCAATAGAGGGCAGCAGGGGGGAGGGAGAACACCCCTCAAAGATGGGGGTGCGCGGGTCGCCTCGAGAGGCTCCTACAGCGACAATGCTCTTCTCTATCGCGAGGAGGGCCTTCTCGAGGAGGTCTACAGTGAGTG